AGTCTACGGGGGCTCGCGACAGTGCGTCGGCCACAACGTTTGTGCTGCCTTTCCGGTACCGCACGACATAGTCGTATTTTTACAGTAGCAAAGCCCATCTCGCCAACCGCCCTGCGGGTTCGCGAAGTCTTGACAGCCATATTAGGCTCTGGTGATCTGTTTCGATCGTGAATGTGGTCCCGTCGACATAAATGTCGAAGCGCTTTAAGGCAAATACAATAGCCAAGCACTCTTGTTCGCAGGTGCTGTAGTTCACCTCTGCCGGCACGAGCGAGCGGCTAGCGAAAGCCACGGGACGAAGCACACCTTCGTGCTCTTGGAGCAGGACCGCTCCCAAGCCCAGTTTGCTCGCGTCCGTTTGGATCACGAAAGGCTTGTTCAAGTCGGGAAGCTTTAGTTCCGCGGTGTCCGCGAGTGCTTTCGAAGTGCAGCGGAAAGCTGCCTCCTGCTCGGGACCCCAACTCCAGCTCACGGCTTTTCTGAGTAGCCGCGTTAGTGGCGCTTGGAGGGAGGCGCAGTTCGGGATGAATTGGCGATAAAAATTCACCATTCCCAAATAGCGACGGAGTGAGCTTACGTCCGTTGGTGCGGGGAACTCCCGGATAGCTTCTAGCTTCTCGGCGTTTGGCGCAATGCGTCCGCAATCGAGTGTGAAGCCGAGCAAGTTGATTCGGGTTTCGGCTATTTGAGCCTTTTCCGGGTTCAGCGTGATTCCCGCGGCTTTTAGCCGGTCGAACACATCCTTCAGGTCTCTGAGATGATCTTCGAAGGTGTTCGAGTAGACGACAATGTCGTCGAGATAGGCCATTGCATGTTTCCATTTGGCTTCTCCCAGTATGCGGTCGATCAACCGCTGGAACGTCATGGGCGCTCCGCACAGACCGAAGGGCATTCTTGTGAATTCGAAAAGCCCGCGGTGACAAACAAAGGCCGTTTTCGCCTCGTCACCTCTCTCCATTTGAACTTGGAGGTAGCCTCGGCTGGCGTCTAAGGTTGTAAAATACCGTGCGCTGCCGAGGTTGGACAGGATCGAGTCAATGCTCGGTAGCGGATATGCGTCTTTCCGCGTGACGTCATTTAGACGGCGATAGTCGATGCACAGACGTGAAGTGCCGTCCTTCTTTGGGACCAACACGACGGGGAATCCCCAGGGACTGTTTGACCGCCGGACAACTCCGGTGTCGATCATTTCGTCCAGTGCAACGTCAATGGCTTTTCGTTTAGCCAAACTAACGGGTCGTGCGTTTTGCCTCCGAGGGAGCGCATCGCCCGTGTCGATCCGGTGTCGCACCACATTGGTGCACCCGGGTCGATCTGTGAACATCTTGTCATAATGTCGTAACAATGCCGACAGACGGGCTTTTTCTTGCCCTGACACGCTGCATGACTCAGTCAGCAGGGGGTGCGTTATCTCCGACGCTACGGCGCTCGCTTGCAACCGCGTCGGAGAAGGTTCACCTTGGGAGGCTGTTGCCTCGTTTCGGTTGCTGCTGCCTGCCCCATTAACCAGCGGTTTTTCTGGGGTTGGGGGTTCGCAGAAAGGTTTCAGAGGAGCGAAAGTGCCCTCTCGGTAGCCACCGCTACTCACGTCGATCACGATCCCTGTTTTGGCGAGAAAATCTCTGCCCAGGATGATCGGAACGGAAAGACTGGGGAGATGAACGAAGCGTTGCCGTCTTGCTCGATTCTCCCATCTCGCAACCAACCGGACGGTACCGCTTGAATGTGCGGTGCCGCACGCGAGTCGAAAGGCCGTGCTTCCCTCCCTCATTCGGACAGAGTTTTGCCGGAGGTGGGTCAACACTTCGTCACCGAAAAGCGATGCGCTTGCGCCCGTGTCGAGCAGTGCCTTGAACGTCCGACCAACGATCGTCAACGCTATGAATGGCGTTGGCGTGCCTGTCGGAAAGCCTATTCTGTAGGCGGACGGCAAAAGAGTATCTTCCTCCGTGCCGTTTAGAGCCACCGGGTTGGTTATCGGCGGCTTTGCTCGTTTCCCGACTGTTGGAAACCGGGGTTCTGCCGTTCTGGGCATTGTCGAACCAGGTGGTCGGCGCTGTTGCAGCGGAAGCAGCGTGGTTGCGCAACCCTTCTCGAGTCGCGTCGCACGTTCTGCTGCGCGCCGGGCCTTTCGTCCTGTGCATTTGGACGCATTGGCCGCGTTTGCTCCCGGGGCGTCGGTAACTCTTGTCTGTTCCGATCTCGCCTTTGCCACTGCGGCGCGGGTTCTGCTGTTCGCCTCTCGTAAGAGTATGGGTCGAGCGCACGATCTGAGATGTCGTACGTGTTTCGACCCGGTCCGTCGGCGTAGTGGGCGGCTTCGTGCCTCCTGTTTCGGGGCGCCGTCTCCCCATTCCATGCGCAGCGCGGCTCAAGTGCCGATGACGCAGGCGGCGGAGGTCGGTACGCTCGGGCGGCTAGAATGTCTCCCTGGATCCGCCGAGCTTCCGAGGCTAGTTCGTTCAGGTCGCGGAAGCGACTGCCTCGGAGGTACGCCGCAAAAGTCGGGTGCGCCTGTCGAATGACGCGCTCTACCCGCTCTGCATGTGGCGCGGAGGGTTCTGCTAGCTCGAAGAGCTCTTGCATCGCCCTTACGAACTCCAACAGTGACTCGTCTGGGTGTTGGGTCCGTTGCTCGAGTTCTCTCCTCATCCTGCGCTCGTAGTCAGCGGGGAGGAATTCCTGGCGAAAAGCCTTTCGGAACTGCTCGATAGTCAGCAGCTGGTTTCCGGTTAGACGGAACCATCGCGCTGCTTGGTCCACCAACGAGATTGGCAGGATGCGTTCCAGTATCTCGTTGTCCGACATTCCCATGGCCTTTTGATAACTTTTCAGGTCCTCGAGGAAGTTCGTGGCGCTCATTCGGTCTCCGTATCCTCGGTATGTCGGGATAGGGATTCTGACCGGTGGCCGCGTGGGCGGCGGGGGCCTCGTCGCTGCTTGCAACGCTCCCGTCAAACTCTCGATAACTCGTGCTGCGTTATCGAGCAGTGGCTGGTAAGAGTTTAGCGCATTTTCTCTTTGATGAGATACGCTTTCGGCTGACGAGCTGTACACTGGCTGTGTGCCGCCGCGTGCCGCCGTGTGTCCTGTTGCGCATAAAGCCGCTGAGCTGGGCCATTGCTCACAGACGGCGGCAGTGTCTTCCGTTTGTGGGGAAGCTGCAGGCCAGTCTGGGGTCAGGAGATCATCGCAGTACGAGGCTGTATTTGCCTGTTGTTGCGTCGCCGCGCTTTGTGCGAGCGCGGTGTTGACCTCGACAAGCGCAGGTGCGCTTCGCTCAGCAGAGTGGGCTGGCGCGTCGCGGAGGGGGATGCCTCGGGCGCATTCCGGACATGTTGGGTCGCCTCCGCTTAGAAGCGAGCTCGGCTCAAAAGACACTGCATTGTGTCCGTGCGTGGCTGACATGGCCACTAAGCCGTTGGGTGGCGTCGGGTTTCGGGCGTTCGCCTCTCCCTCCGTCCACGAAGTCCAAGGCCGGAAATTGGCCTGGTTCGCTGCCATTGCGAACGTGCTGCTTTGTTTGCAGACGCCGGACGGGCCGCACGTTGGGGCGCCAGTTGTGGGATTCTAGTTTACCCCAAAGTCCTCAGTGAGGCAAATACCCACTCCGTAACTCGTCGGTTGCAAAAGGTGGGTTTCGACTTACCTTGCTGATCGCTGTGAGGCAAAACCCACTCCGCAGTCCGCTGCTAGGGCGGCTACGGCCGGGTCCGTCCGTTGGTTGCCGCTAGGCTCCGGTGGACGGGAGACCACACCAAACACAGGGATACCGTAGAAACGTGTTTATTGGCCTTACGCCACACGCTTTGCGCCCGTAGGCGGAACAAAAGAGAAAAGAGGTTGGCGCTGCCTTAATTGACAGGATCACCAGGAGAAGGGTCCGCGCTGCCGGAACTGGCAGGAGCACGGAAAAGGGGGAGCAGGAAAATAACGATGAATGCTCCGTCGAGCGTAGCCCCCCCTAACCAAGAGCCCCGGCCACAGGTGGGTGGCCGGCTTATGTAGCCTGCGGGAAATAGACGCGCCCGGGGAGGCCGGTAGAAGGTCACTCGAAAACGGGACGCGTCCATAATCACTCCCAAGGGTGTGCCGGTGGCGCGTTCACCCAAAAGGGCAAGGGAGAACCGGCCCCTTCGGGGAATTCGGCCTCGTGGTTCCTTGTATCCGGGAGGCCGACGCCATTGGTGACGACGACTCCCACGGCCTGCTTGAAGCTAGGCCTAGATAGGGATAGAGGGAACCCAATGGTTCCCACACCACCAAGCGCGGCTGCCGATCGGCAAATATTTCGTTTTCTTCTTTGCGATTACGCACCGGAATAGCGTTTTTCGGGGAGAGGTGACGCGTTTTTTGTCACTTGGGCTTAGATAAACAATTTTAAACATTCAAATTGCCAATTCTTTCAATACTAAGATCGTTGCTTTACCCCTTTAAGGTGCCGTTTGGCGCGGTTACAAAACTGATAACGTCGCATCGCTCCATAAAACAGTTGATGCTTTCGCATTCTTTTTTTTTCGTGGTTGACGCGTTATTTGGACAAATGCTAAAAGGCTACGCGGCACACCTAGCCCCGAGGGGAGACTGTATAATGAAAACAAAGGCGAAAAAAAAAAAGGCAAAAAGTCGGATAAAAACAGATACACACGGTCGCACACACGCACAGACAGAGAAAAAAAGAGACACAGAGAGGAAGAGACAGCGAGAGAAACAGTCAGGCAGAGGCAGGCACAGCGCCTGTCCTGTCTGTGACTGGATGTCCGAATTTAACCCGTCATTTTCTATTATTTCTTTTAATTAATTGTCTCGAATAAAAAAAATAGCCCAACAATTTTTTAGGGGATTTAATTTTTCTTAAAGCACATTTTTAAAGCACACCTACACATTTTACAAAAACCAAATAGAATTTATTCGAAGAAATTAAATTTGAGCATGAGTGTAGATGTCTCATTCCAGATGGCTGGCTCATAGATTACTAAAATCCGAGTTTCGTTGTCCAGCGGAGCCTGCCGTCGACTCTGGTCTCCAGACGCCTCAGCCCGGACAGTCGTCAACTTCAGAAAGCGCCTTCGGCGGGGCGCAGCGAGCCGAGTCGAAAGATTTCCAGAACGGTGCGCTCTGGAAATCTTTCAGTGATGCGCTCATTTCGAGCGGCCGTACCGATCAGCCGGCTCAATCTGAAGCGATCGAGTCATCGGATGATCCGAAAAACCTGGAAAAATTATCTCAGGTAGGCAAACTATTACTATAATGACGAAAGTAATCCCTGGAGAAAGGGAACAAGAGGGACAAAAGACAAACACAAATCCCCAAACACAGGTGTGCTACCGAAAAACCAGGTATCGAACCCGGCACCTCTCCATTTCCAGTGGAGCGCTCTACCAACTGGACTAACCTGGAGTTAAACGTCAGTAGAGCAAACGGGTTTTATCAGCTGCCACCAGTCTAACACCAAGAAGGGTAAAGCTCGCAATTTAATGTTATAATTATAATGCAATTAAATGCAAACTTTATGATTATATTGTTATGATTATAATGCAACTAAATATGCTTTGCATGTAATTGCATTTTAATTATAACCTTAAATTGCAAGCCGTTCACCCTTGTTGGTGTTAGACTGGTGGCAGCTGATAAAACCCGTTTGCTCTACTGACGTCTAACCCCTGGTTAGCTCAGTTGGTAGAGCGCTCCACCCGTAATGGAGAGGTCCCGGGTTCGATACCCGGACCAGGCGGATTTTTTCGGTCGCGCACCAGTCACCTAGCTGTGTTTGGAGATTGGTGTTTGTCCTTTGTCCCTCTTGTTCCCCTTCTCCAGGGATTATTTTCGTCATTCTCGTACAGCTCACTTGCAATTTTACATTTAATTGCATTATAAACAATTACTATACTCGGTTTCACCTCGTCCGGACGCCACCGACGCTAAGAGCTGATGGGACCACCGATCAAACAGCGCCTAAAGCGCACGTAGTGTTCGCCGTGATTGGGTACGTGCTCTTTCGTGGACGAACCAATCAGGGAAAGCCGAGTGTCTTGAACTTCTGGCGCTCGTAGCTTGTAGCGTCAGCTGCGATCGGAATTAATGTGACACGAAGCGTGGGGCTCCGATAATCCCCAATAAACCTTGCTCAACTTGTGTTCAGGTCGGCTACGGAGTCTTCCTCAAACTTTCCAATTGCAAAATTCTCGATCGATATGACAGATTTCTTGCGACTCTGGGAGAGAGAGGGAGAACATCTTTATTGGAAAGAATAATGCCCTATTTCCAGAAAAAAAGTTACCGGGGCAACGAAATTTGCCGAGTAAAATTTGTTGCTGCGTGGTTGGGTGGGGTTACGGTTGCTACGCAGATCAAAGGTGCGAGCCCCGAACAACCGAAACGACAACGGCGCAAACAGAGAGAGAGAGAAAAAAAAAAGAAAAAAAAAAAGACTTGAGCTAGCAGAACACTTACGCACAATGTACGCGGGCTTTTGCCACCATAGAGCGGGAAAGAAGCATTTTGTTCTGGATCTCCTCATTAACCAGTCTCTCGTATAGTCAAGCGCATGTAATGGTTCTTTAAATTGTCTGCGCGCGAGTAGAAGATCGAAACATTTTGGCAAATCCAATGCAATGCTTTACACGTGGTAGCGAGATTCTAAGCACAAACTATTCAAAGCGAATCTTCTCATCGCGTATACACCGCGACTGATTTTCGAGTCCTACCGAATTTACGGTGCACTCAAATAAATGCACGGTATGTTCCCTTAAAAGTGGAAGTTTCACTAGTTTGAAGTCTATCCATTGTTGTTTCAGGTTGCTAACAATGGAGGACCGGGCCACCTCCCTCGGAACGCGTCCCTAAACGAGGATGGAGGGACTGAGCCAACCGACGCACTCCTGCAGGCTCACGACACCCTCTCAGTCGTCCATATTTTTGCCCATCGCGAACCCATCCCTTCGTCGCACGCTTCGTCCTCCGAGGTGTTCGCAGATCCAACCGAAAAGAACCTGTCCCCGAAACACCAGCTCCGGCTGCCAGCTTTCGGACCTTTCCCGCCGAACTACGCGTCCGATCCACATGGACCCCGGTGCACCAGTAAGGTTTTATAGCAGTGTTGGCGGTAACGTGTTACTTTGTTTCGGAGAACGTAGTAACGTGCCTGTTACATTTTCAAAACAGTAACGATTAACGTTTCTTATACGGACTAGCGGGTAACGTAGTAATGTTATGCTCGTTGCCTCTCCTAGTCGAGACTTCAAGAAATCACTCTTTAATATCTATATATTTTTATATATATACGCCGAGTCATTTGATTTTTTGCAATCATTCCTGATACCTTCAAAATTAAAACCGTAAAAAATATCAGGTTTTTTAATGGACGTCGTGTTTCTTTCCTGGTGATACCCCACTCTACCCGATGATATTTAGGGGGTAAAAAATTGGCTTAGAAGGGCGCGAGGAATCAAATGTTGGCCTTTCTTAGACTCGGGCTAGGTGGCGCAAGCTACCGCCCATCCATCCATCCATCCAATACGGCGCTTATGCATACATGTGCTGTGACGTCAAACGAGTAAAACGTTTTATTTATATAAATGAAAAGTAACGTGCGTTTGGTAAGGGTTACGCGTTTTATTTTGAGGTAACGTAGGTTTTGTAATGCATTTCTTTTACCAGCAAGCAACGGGTAAGGCATTTCGTTGCTTTTTTGCTTCTTTTCGGTAACGCCTACAAAGCTGGTTTGTATCCTCTGCATATGCATCTTGGCAACGGAAGACAAGGCCCGCGATATTCGCCTCTAAACGTCATCCCTAGTGGTCTTTTAGACAGCACCGCCTAGCTCGCGTCAGCATCGCCGCCAGCGCCTCTCGCAGCGTCTCACAACGACGCTCGCACGCGACGACTGCAACACGGACGCGCCTGCTGCTTTGTGGCGTCTTTCGCGGAGCTTCAACGTGTTCACCCCTTGGAGAGGGTCGAGGATCCACCGATGCTGACGTCATGGGGAAGCCTTGTCTTCTAGGTGGTTTTAGTCTTGGGCCTAATTTACGATCGCACCCACGTCACATAAACTGGGAAAATATGTCGACTACAGCCATTGACAGATTAAGAACTTCAAGACGGGTCGAGTAGGTTACAACTTTTTTAAAGTAACGCGACGAGGAACTGCGAAGAATTTGTGCGAATGAAGGCACAAAAAAGGGCTGGTTGCTGTTAACCACGCAAGAAGTGTGGTGGTAAATATGGCCACCTTCAGTCCTTGATCGCCTTCCCCTTTTTTTTTTATTAGGTCGAAGGCAATGATGACACGTTTGACATAAAAAGGGGTAACGTAACAAACTTAACAAACGTTCCATGTATGCACTCTGCAGAACGTTAGTTATACAGCATAGTTTCCCAATTAATGCGGCGTTAATGACCTGGTCTTGCAATGCGACCGTGAGGATGGTTTATTTTCCCTCGCAAAGCTGCTTATTCCCTCTACTGTTGAGGCTACATGCAGCGCGTTCTAATTTCCAGGACGCGACGTGACTCGGTTTTTCTGCGACTTTGAGGAACACAACTGCGGTATGCGCAACCAGAAGAACATACCAGGCCACTTCAACCGTGAGTCGAACGGACTGGCAAACCGACGAGGTGATTTTCTAAAATTTCTGCACGATTAGTGCAAATAAAATTATCTCCGATAATTTAGGGACCAGATACGAGAAGGTGATGATTATATATAGTTGTCTCGTGCCGCAACGTGTTTTATGGCGCTGTGTACCGGGTGATATTTTTTATTCAAAACAGATCTTTAAAGGCAACGTATTTACTGCTACGTTAATGCCTTCTTCACTATATGTTTTTGGAGCTTGGATGACATTCGAGGGGCAAACAACCGTCACTGTCTGGTGAGTAATTAATTAAAATTTGTTAATTCACTTTTTTAATTAGTGCAAATAGACACATGGTTCCAATTAGAAGGTTCTGATCGTCAGAAAAAACCACCGAATAAACTTTTTTTTAGAACGGCTTCAACCTCGTGGGAAACTCGGAGGCGCATAAATATTACCACAGGTGAAGCAGGCGCAAGAGTAGCAGTGGCGGAACCCGATAACGATCTAATCATCCGCGTTTTGCTACTGGCAGCTTTGCGCCTGCTTCACGAGTGGTAGCTTTGGCGCGCCGCCGAGTTTCCCACGAGCTTCAGGTCGGTCTAAAAAGAGTTGATTCGGCAGTTTTCGATTATACTCAGTAAGTTTCTAATTAGAACCATAATTTTATTTGCACCAATTAAAAAGTTAATTAACAAGCTTGGTTCATTACTTACCAAACTGTGACGCTTGTTCGCCCCTTGAGTATCCGCCGAGCTCAAGAAACATATAACGAAAACGGCCTTCGCTTACCTGTTAAAGCGAATAAAAAAAAAAAAAAAATCATTTGGAATAAAAAATACTAACCCGGTATATCGCTACATTTACGCTACATTAGACTGTAACTAAAGAAGCTGTGAAAGAATTTCACTGCTTCTGGCGGCTTTTCGTGGTAGCAGATAGAGCTGACGGTTTTGTGGACCTAGGATAGATGGCGCCACTAAAATCCGCATAATAATAGTTTTGTCGATGATACCAGGCTTTTGGCCCATTTATATTTATGTTGGAACGACAAGATTTTGAGAAAAATTACCTTTTATAGAGCAGGGCATTTGAACAACTTGCTATCTTTTTACAAACCCTCTTTGACGTAACGCCGCGTAGTTCCGATGGCCGCCGCTCGCGGCTCCAGGTCGGGAAATATTATAATTTTTGCCTCGCAATTACGCGCCGGAATCGCAACATTTTGTAGGAAGGAGATGCGCTTTCTGGCCATTAGCGACAAGATAAACAATGTCAAAAGTAGAAGATGCTAATTCTTTCAACGTTAAAATCGTTGCACGGCTCCTTTAGCTCGAAAAATAACACCCCAAGGATCTACTTCTTTTGAGAGAGCGTAAATAATTAACTTTAGCGCAGTATTGCAGCGAGGCTGACTCGATATCTGGCAAGCTAGCTAGTTCACTAGAATTGAGGGATTGGCGTTTTTAACTAGCATGCCGCCAAAATAAGCCATAGTGCATTCGTTCGATTTGAGTAAACTGTATTTTGACACCAGCTGACCCGTGGCGTCGCGCCACTTGTGTACCGCGGGTGGTCCACGTGCTTCAGACGCGATTGACTGCAATGCGTTTCGTAAAGGCGCTGTCACAAGGCTAAAACATCGCACAAAAGACAGCCTGCACACACAGGCGTGTATCCTCGATGTATGACGGTCGCACTGGCCGTACAAAAACAGTTTGCAGACACGCAGAGTGCAGGCTTGTCCGCGGATGCCTTCGCGTCTGTGACGAACACCCTGTATTTTGGACGAGTACGTGCCATTGCGGCTATAGAGCCTCGCACGTTGTTCGCCTTTGGGTCCTTCCTCGACATTAAAACGCGAAACCTCATTCCGTTTCTTTGTGCTCCTGGTCCAGGCCACTACTTGGTCGTCCACGCCAAGTCCGTTCGATACAACGTGGCCCGCATCATCACGCCTTACCTGCCGGGCTATCCTCGCGCCAAAGCCTGCCTGAGCTTCTCCTACGTCATCCATGGCGGGGGCGCTAGCAGGATCGAGGTCATTGCCCAAGACACCGCCAACCATCACCTCTTCAGGCTGAAGCAAGATGGATCCGAATGGAGAAACATCCAGTACACCATAAAGGTGCGCCAAGATGTGCGAGTAAGTGCCCTTGCCCACGTAAAGCGGTACAACAAAAAAAAAAAAAAAAAGAGCTTTTATGCCCGGTCTCCTATAACGAGCCAGGATGTTTCTACGTCGCCTAAAAGAAGGCCAGAGCGGGGCGCAAAGTGAGTGCTGCGTGGGCGAAGTCTCGTAGTGTCCTCATGGATTGAAGACGAAGCAGGACGCGGACGCAGCACTCGTGTGCAATCCGCGGCCCGCTTAGGCCTTCTTTAGCTGACGTAGAAACGTCAATCCTTCGGCCTTGTTGTCTAGAAGGTATTGGTTCTCCATGTTTCTATCTACACCAATTTTAAAGCACGAAACGCGTTTTAAGGCAACCCCCCCCCCCCCCACCCCAAAATTTTGTCCGTCCGTCTGCCCGTCCGTACGTGCATTTTCCGCTACATTTAGCGGGGAAGGTGCCGTCCCCTAACGTCACGTAACCAATACACCTTGGGGAAATGGACGGCACATGACCTATACCTTAACTGAGTTTCCCCACTAAATTTAGTGGGACAGTACACGTCTTGCGTCCAAAACATCAAATCAGTTGCCCCGCTAAATTTAGCGGGAAATGAACGTCATGTGGCCTGTATACATCAATCCAGTTACCCGTTAAATTTTGCGGGAAAATTCACGTCTTGTGATCCAGACACTGATTCAGTTTCACCGCTAAATTTAGTGGGGGAAATCGACTTCACTTGATCTATACAACCATTCAGTTTCCCCGCTCAATTTAAGGGAAAAGCCCCGTTCGCAAAGCCTTCTCATGTAAACCCAGGCTCGTTCCCAAGCCGTGCAGCTTGTGTGCCTGGTCTAGTCGGTTGCGTCCCGCGTCACGAGACGTCCAATAACGTCACGCGTGACGTCGTGTCACGTGACGCATGACCTTGCACATTGCTGTGACGTCATAACCCTATCGACCCGCTAAATTTGTCAGGAAAATGTTCTACTAAATTTGGCGGAAACATTTTCAGCTAAATTTTGCATAAAATATTTCAGTCAACTTTGGCAGTTCGATAGGGTCATGACGTCACGACCACATGTGACGTCACACGTGGCTGCGCGTGTTGATTTATTTATAGGATTTGTCGGTCCCACCGACGCCGATCCGGATTTTCCGCAACACGAGCTCCTAAACGCTATCGCGTTAAAATATAAGTCAGGTGACACACCGATTCCCTCACCAATCCCCTTTAACGCATTTCATTCATTATAAAAATTTGAAGGCAGATGTCCCTTTTTTTTTTTTTTAAATGCGGTGGCACACATCAAAACGCAGACGCTGCGCGAGAGAGCGACCAACGCGTGTCGCCTTCCTCGGGTTATCGTGCGCATGCGCTTGTCGGGAAGAGTGAACTACAGTCTCCAACAGAATGAAAGACCCATCGGCTTGGACAGTTTATACGGCGGGGCCGAGCACACCGTGGCCGTAGGCGCTTTATTGCTAGGGAGAGTTGTAGAACGAAGATTCGTTCTTTTCCTGACCCAAAGACACGTGGTATAGTGGCCAAAACGAATTCTGTAGAGTCGCCCGAAGGCTGCATCGTAAAATGGGTTTTTCATATTGTTGGATACTGTACAAGTGCCTAGCAAGAGGAAGGAGTAGACCGAAGCAGCTGAACGGAAGCGGCGACGTGCTGAGTATGACCGTGCTCAACGTGCCAAAGAGACGTCAGAGTCTAAATTTGATAGAGAACCGGCCAGGGTATCGCACTCTAAATACCCCGTGGAGCAATAATAAGACGCTCAGAGTCGCCCCCCCCCCCCCCCTCCCCGCGCCAGTGGTTATTGGTAAGGCGTCATTTAAAGTAAGACAATGCTCGTGCTCACCCCAAGTCACTCGCATCACCTGAGACTATAATGTTTAAAGCGAATATTTAATGACCTGGTAAGTGTAACGCGCATCTAAATATAATACGCGCAGTGTTATACCTTCCGATTGTGTTGCTTGGGCAGAGTTTGGCTTAACACATTTCCCGCGAGCAGGCTACTCACGCCGCCAACTTAAGAAAACAAACCGCTGCCTGGAAAAGTACAATTTTGAGAAAAAAAAAAGAGATGGCTAGGGCGGTTACCTGCCGCGTCGTTACCTGATGGCAGTGCACATTTCACTCGTTGCAGTTCTTCATCGAAGCCTACACGACAGGCCGCGCGGAAGGTGTGATTGCTATCGACAACTTTGGGTTCAACTTAGCGCCGTGTCCAAAATATTAACATCGATAACGGTAAGCGAACATTTGAATATTTCTTTTTCACTTCGTTTGCTTCATGAGGTATACGTACGTCGCAAGTAGTGTTATTCGTGCTTTTATTTAATACAAAAACGCCTTCTGGTATTCGATCCGTGCCGCTGTTAATGCAATTAATGCGAAGGTGCAGCGAGCTGGACTAGAATAACCGTAATAATTCCCGGAGGACGGGAACAAGTAATTGTAATGCGCACCAGTCAACTACTAAGTGTGTCTGGAGATTTATGCTTGTCCTTTGTTCCCTCGTTACTTTTCTCCAGGAATTATTATAGTCATCAATGGTGCTGCTTGTCACTGGATGGACAGGAATCGAGTGCGAAGGTGTCCCGGTTTAGGTCACTGACTGAAATCACTGAAATCAAGCCCAAAACCGGTAATGCGTTATGCACACGATAGACCCTTCCAGAAATATGTGGTGCCCCCAGCGTCTGCTTTACGGATTGGGATCGTTCAGATGTACGGCCCGTGAAATTATCCAAGGATCCCCTCTTACTTTCAGGAAAGTAAGAAGTGGCATGTTTTAAGTGAGTATTTATTAAAAGTTACGCGGGGGCTTAATGATATGGTTCATTAACTACCGGTTTTCTAAAAAAAGGCGAACGATGTTATTCAATTTATTTTGAACGTTCCGCAAAAGCTTCTTGAAGAAGGTTCCTCCAAGAGCAGGAACACGTCTCTTCGCTCGGTTCACGACGTATTCGGAAAGATTTCCCGCGTAGACTAACACAGATTAAAAAAAAAAAAAAAAAGTGGCCAATGTTTTTTTGTATGTTACCAAAATTAAATTCGTGGGATCCCTCTCCGGCGTGGCCACCCCCTTTCCCCGTCCCCCGCGACCGCGTCTGTTGGCGTCGCCTCAAGTCACGTGACCTAGATCCCTAAACTCGTGCTTGCAGATCTGGAGCGCAGCAAAAGCGATCTTTCTTGGAGCGCGAATATTCCACTCGCAGATCTCGGTAGAGCCCTGCATAACCGGGGATCATCCCCGGATATCCGCAGTCAACTGGAGGATACGGATAGAAATGAATCAGATCTTGCGGATTGCTGATATCGAATCTGGATGCCAAGGGCTGCTGATACGGATCGGATGCGGATATCCGCGGGTCCGGATCTATACGTTTTTGCCGAGGCGGCCCATTAAACGTGTGCGACCGGCGCAGTGTAGAGTCAACGAGTGGGTGGTGCTATAAAGTGCATCATCGCATGTTTCGAGGGAGCAAATTACTCTCAGAAAAATTGAGCCTATCGGGAAGAAATCTTTCTTTACGCCAAGAAAGATCTGATGTTGTCTTTAAAAAATTAAAGAATGCGGGGGCTTCAATCTTCCCTGGAAATCGTGTTCCTGTTTGGCAGAGAAAGAGCGGAAAAAATATTTTTGGCGAAGGAAACCCCCAAAAAAATACGAGCCAAAAGAAAGTAAGAAAAGCCTCCTACCGCAAAAGTGAGGTACGAGGTTCCGTACCTCGTACCTCACTTATAGCGGAATTCATGCAAGCTATCCCAGCGTCAAGTGCACCAGCAGAGGGAAATTTCCTATCAGCTGCCCTTGTAATTCAAGAGAGGCGAACCAGTCTGAATCCGTCCACCGTTGACTATATTTTGTTTCTACACAGTGACCTCGACAAGTGAAACGTGCAAGTGTGTGCGTTATTTTTTTTTTTTTTTTTTCCTCGAGAGATGGCAAGCTGCTGCTAAGTTTCTGGTTCGGAGCACGCAGTTGCGGGTTCGTGTTTAAAACTGAAACCGATAGGCGTTGCTATTATTGAATATTGTGATATTTTTCTAGTAGTGCACTCGCGTCTTACACTACCAGTGTTTTCGGAACGGCGTTCCAAGGAACGATTTTTTTTGGAACGCGTTCGTTTTAGTAGGAACAGGGGAACGCCGCCGTTCCGTTCTGCTCTAGTGGAACAGCAACCAAAAAAAAGTTACGCTTTCGAGAGAACTGCAGGAGAAACGGCGTTCCTTTTTTTTGTGTGTGTATTTATCTGTAATTTTACCCGAATTCAGTAGATTTTTCAGCTTTTATTATGGACTACTTTAACCTCAGATTTCAAAGAATGTAGAAGCGTCCGAGAGATGGTTGAAAACAAAAGACTGGAAGAAATGTGACCATGCATCGACTTAACACTAGGGCTGGGCGTCGATTAAAACTTTTAACCCGATTAATCGCCACCTTTTAATCGATTAATTAATCGATTCATCGGTCTCGTTCATTTCCATGAATAATACTAAAAAAGTGGTTGTGCCTTCGTTGATCGTTGCTTCCTATGTGATCGTTTGCCTCCTAGGAAGCAAACGATCAACGAAGCAAACACATAGGAAGCAAACGAGTGATCGTTTGCTTCCTATGTGTGTTTATTAATGTCTCTGGCAATGACTGCGTGCCCCGCAGTTCCGGGGAGGAGAACGCGGATCTATTCTTGTCTGTTTATGACATGGGCACCGTGGTTCGGCGATCGACCTGTGTCGGGTATTAGTTCTGCTGGTAGACAGGAACCGTATTGATTGGCTGTCCGAGATTTCATTCAGCTCGTCAAGTTCGAGCTCAGGCAACTTTAAGCAGTGGCCATTCTGAAACAGAGACCGTCTCCGGCGTGTCGCTCAAGAAATGCGACTCCATCTTTCACTCGTCGCTTTGGAGCGGGTGCCACGGAGCGATTTTTCTCCTCCCTCGCAGACTTTAGAAACCGAGCCGGATCTACCAGTAGAATTCTCCGTAAGTGTCAGTCAATTTGAAGGGTCACGTGGCCAGGGAGGGCGCTGCAACTTGGGAATCAAGCTGACAACAAGGACGTTGTCTGTTCGGGCAGGTCCCCTGAACGAGAGGGAACTGGCTGCTGGCGCGGGCCCACGGAGACGTGAGCACTGGGCCGCCACCGCGGGTGGCTGTGCTGTCCACCGTGCCTACCGTAAACCGCCGAACCACGAGGGGAAAAAAGACCCTTCTGCAACACCGGACTTCTACTGAACTACCGCGACCAGGCCCTCGCAAGACCATGATGTGGACCAATAAACAGCCTCATGAGAGCTCGTGTGCGATGCGAGTCCGTTCGGAGGCGATTTGTCGGGGAACGCGGAAAACTCCGCAAAAATATTATCGTGCAATCTATGCTGTATTGTTCTTGCCACAATGAAGAACATTTTTCTCATGATATTTCATTAACGCTAACACCACCACCTCTTGATAGCAACGAACGTTATCGTGGCTCGCACCCATAAACACCACATCACAGCAGAATGATTCATATATGCACATCGATCGCCGTTTTCTATAGAAGTGCTAGGTGGGTGTTGAAGCCTCTATCCTAGTACTTTGAACGGTAGGCGAGTTTACGTCTCAGTTCGTTTGCGTTGTGGTGTTCGTAGACCATAAGAACTGATAAGACATTTGGTGCCTCATCGAGCGACATCATGAGTTTAACTTGAACAACTAGTGCTTAAAAAAAAAAAAAAAAGACCATCTCATTATAACTCTACAATACTACATCTGACTATACTTACACACAAAAATCATTCGGCAGTGGTTACACTGCGAATGGAAAGATATTCCAGATGTTCTTTGCAAAGGGGGGAAAATAAAGCTGTAATGGGCTACATTTCACAGAACCAGCATTTTAATAACGTGTATGACGTCAATTACACATGCATAATGTTATGTTCATATGTGTGATCTTACCTTCACGGGCATAATGTGAGCGGTTAACAAGCTCGTAGCCAAAATTCGTTGTTTCTTTTTTTATTTTGGATGAGGGGGTGCAAAATAATGTCTCTCACTGAAGGTGCTCTCCGCCACCCCAATGTAAAATATATGCTGCCTATTCAGACATATTTAGGTCCAGTTCTCACCATTTGAAGCGTTTCTGTAATATTTATGATACCATGTCAAATCATCCAGAATGCCTCATTGTAATTCTTCCACTGGACAATAGATAAACCATGTATCAAATTAAAACGAGGGAATCCCCAATTATCCATTTGGCACATCAGAGACGAAGCTTGTCAACTTCAGTGTCGATCATTGTAGCTTGCTGACCCTCGAGACGTAGCTGGCTCTGTTTTCGTTCACAGCCCCCTTGTTGCAAAGTCTTACTTTACGTCGCGGAACATACCGTATTCATGCGAAGGCATCCTAGCCAAGATTGTCGCACCACGTTGACCTTGCAAGTTTGCTGGTTTGCAAGAAGAGTATATTTTAAAAACTGACACTGGGCTCATAAAAGGGATAGTAGGAGAGACTTTGTGGAAAAAGAAGAGAGAATTAGCAACTTAATTGACTGTTCTCGAAGGTCGTGAAAGATCACGTTGGCGAACTACAAGCACACGTGAACACCCTCGCCCCAAAGAAAGAACTGCAATGTGCAAGTTATAAATAAGACACGCATGGGTGACCGTAAAACAAATACAGATCATGTTTTGGGGTGGACGGGATTTTGTTAGTACAAGACGAGAGTGTTGGGAACAATATCCACCATAAGGAAGGTAACACAGAGAAGGGGAAGTCATTGTTGTCCGTCCTCTTATCTGCGTTACTTCCTTTATGGGGGATTTTATCACTTTTGACCTGCGTCTGTTGTGTTTCGGCATAGAGTGCACGCGGTACTCCTCTGGAGGCTTCCCTTCGGCACCATGGCAAAGGACGAGGATTAGCACGTTGGAGTGTGCTGCTCACGTGCAGTTTCTTTCCCTGTTCTTTTTACAGCGGAGATGTTAAGGACTAGGTTCCCAGGATCGTGCCCACCAGCAAAGAAATGACGACACCAGACTCTGGACAGCTACCGACATCTACGAGCGACGTTGGCAATCAAACAACCGGCTGGCTTTTGTAGCGTGAGCTACTCTAGGAGAGGTTGAGCAGTTTCGCGTGGCTCCCAAAGAGCTGTGCTGCGCACGTGCGAGGAGCAGTGACGTCACACGGCGCACAGCTGGCGCGCCGGAGCCGCCACTGCGTCCGGTAACGACAAGCTGAAATCTATTTGAAAGGATGCGAGATCCATTTAATAACACCCATTTTTATATTAGCCTCCAAAATATTTTTATTGACCTTTTATGCGGAACGCGATTAAAAGCTTTCGAAAGGTCGATAATACTTGTCAATCGCGGGGTAAGTGCGAATAATCTCATGAAGATTCGTAATTAGCTCGAAACGTTTACAAGAATTACCCCGTTGAAAACCATGTTGGTTTGAAAAAAACAAGGTTGTTAGTCACGAAAGATTTTACAGTCTGAGAGCGAATGATGTGTTCGAGTAATTTACACGATACGCAAGCAAGAGATGTACATAGGTCTGTAATTTACGAAGGAGTTGCAATTGCCGTATTTGTAGGTAGGGATGACACGAGCCTGTTTCCAATCACCGGGTAGCGTGCCGGTAGCAAGTGACTTTTGGAAGAGTGCTCCTAGAAGTTCACCGGGATACATCTGTTATTTTCAGCAACTTTATACTTATTCCGTCCGGACCGGGGCTTGAATTTGGTGGCAGTCGATCTATTGCACTGGCAACTCCCTCACTGGTAATGATAAAAATGTCCGTTAGAGCGGACATGGTAGATATTAACGTATTAGTCAAAGGCATTTCATCTGTGACGACGCTACCAAAGAAATAAACGCCTCTGCTGCCTGCAATGTGTGAAAAACACTACTCAGTTCCGATAATATAGAACGAGCTACATTCTTGGGTTTTTAGGGTTCACTACACTAATATTTCTTCGGATTAGATTTTAAAATGTTACAGATCGTTGTTAAACTATTTAGGTTTGGCTCTCCTGATTTCCCCTTTGCAATGCCTCGAGCATGAACGATAAGACTCAGTCGTCCTGAACACCCGAAAGTTTAGGATGATCATGATGAGCACATAAAAAATCCGACTGCTTTCGTTTTGTTTGCGCAAAAAGGAGAACCATAAGGAAGTCAATAGACTCCATCTGAAAAAAAAAAAAAATTCTTTAAGCAAATTTATGAAGCTTTTGGTAAAGAGCACAATAGGTCAGGCATAGAAAGGTTTCCCAAGCCAGGGCAGCCAAGTTCAACTGAATGCTTCGAGAAAATTTCAAAGACGATGTAAACAATTCTAACAGCAACAGTGGTAGAAGTTTATTGGAAACTCGGTATTAAATAATGTACACGTGGTTGAACACAGGTCCTTGTGAATGAGAGCCGCTTGTCGGACCTGTCTTGGACACGTCCTGTCATCGAGGAGTGCATGCGCCGTCTAGGCACTTGCTGCAACAAAGAACTTCAAATGATGAAAGAACGAATCAAACAGCAAATCAGTTATAAGAAGCAGGTAACCTCAAGTTATTTTCGTTTACCTGCCCCAAAAAGCAACACAACCGGCTGTTTTAATTATGATTGAGTGGTGAAGGCAATTATGCACGAAAGATTAGATAACCTAACCAAAAACTGACATTACAAAAACAAAACTTATAGTAACAGTTAGAAAAGCGGGGTTTTTAGATGTGTAAAACTGAATGGAAATTTGAGAGGAAAAGAATGTGCAGTCTAAAACAGTGTGATTCAACTAAATTAGAAAATGTTTTCTGGGCTTGTACTTAGCCGTAAATATATGTGGTAAACTCATCTCAATTAAGGAAGGAATAAAACGCCACATCGAAGAAAGAAGTTAACCCCTCGATTTTATTGTTCCGATGTTCATATCCTTTTACACAAACCCCATTTTTTCCGGACTGCTGATCCTTATGCAGCAAGAACAATATGGCCGCGCGCTTACGTAGCCAAGTCGGTAGCGCGCTTTTCCGACACTCACGTGGCTCGTGTTGGATTCTAGGAACTGTGCGTTTCTATCGTTCTCGACGCAAGAAGAAAATTCGAGAAGGTTAAAGAAACGTCTAGCTTGCACATGTTTATGGTGCATAGTTTTAGATTGATCGAGGGGAAGTACTTTAGGCTTCCAGTGAAGGCATAAAAGCTGCACCGCGGCGTTCACGTCAGTCTCGCCCCAGTGCCCGACCTTGCTGTTACGCCGCCATCGGCGCTAGCCTTTTTCTATGTTATTTTGGGCCCAAGTTCGCGCCATTAAACGTTTCGTTTCCTTCAGTCATTCGGTGTCTCATCCATTGTCATTCGTGACAACAGCAGACTATTTCTTGTGGTGAAATTTCTGTGAAATAGCAAGCCAAATTTAGGTTCTTTAAAGTGAAAGTACTGCTGCAAAGGAAAGAAATCCACTATTTCAGAACGACTATAAATGTTAGCAGCTAAAGGTATGTTGTCTGTGTTGGTACTTGCAAAAATATACTTTAGGCAAAATTTTTGATGTTGTAGGTTTAGTTCTTTAGCGGAAATTCACAATATTCTACAAACTAAAGCCAAGCAATATTAATATCTAATATCTCGGAGTCATAAAGGCAAGCTGGTACTGAAGTGGTAATGAAACGAAATTCCAGCTCCTAGTCAACAATGATCTGCAACCCCCAGAGACACCAATTCTTTTGGAAAAGACACCAACACTTTGTTTAAGACGAATAAACCGATTACCACATTGCACTTGGTGGATGTTACGAAAGCTGCTTCGATGCCGTTACGTCCACATTCCCATGAAACAGCAAACTACGCGGAAATACGGCGGCAAGCTGCGTGCGCGCGCACCCTATCGAACTTTGTGAAACCGTATTTTCCTCCTCTCCCGCGTCTATTCAACGATAAAATATTCATCTCCTTGGGGAGACTGGACGAGACTGAGACGAGGAGGCCAGTGAGGTTTGTGGCGCAGGTGAGTCATGATGATGATGCAGTTCATGGAAAGCAGCAAGCGAGTTGTACAAGAATGACGATAATAATCACCAAACCAGAGCTCGGGCATCTCGAACGGCAGGCTGTAACGCGTTGACGCCACCGAGTGACGAAGCACGCAACAGCCTTCCCGTATCCTTGCTCGTTCTGAGAACACCGGTGCCAAGAATGTGCCGAGTCTCCAGTGACGCACCGCGCTGCCCGATGAATGCTCTTGAAGAGCTCGCTTCAATCGACCGTTTAGAAAGAAAAATCTAGCCATTCGTTCAAAGTACAAAGATGCGATTGTCATTAGCGCGTATGTTGCATGATCACGTTGAACGGGCGTGATAGGCATACATATTATTTCCTTCAGTGCATTTGTAAAGAGACCACGAAATATTTTAATATTAAATGCCACAATCATAGTAAAAAAGAAAACGCACTTACCTTCGTTCTTATTTCTGCTTTGAACACGGTCCAAATCCGAATTGAAAATTGTCAATGGCGATCACCCCTTTGGCGCGACTAGTCGTGTAGGCTTCGATGAAGAACTGCACATCAGAAAAGGTAGAGCAACATCAGGTAACGGCACAGCGCATGGTCCACGAGGCCGTGTATTACGAGCAAGAGGTTTGGCCGTTCACGTAGCGCGGGAGATAGTGCTCGTAGGCCACTCGCAGAGCGTGCAGCACTAAGTATCCGACTGCGGCGCAAGGTGTAGAGTGAAAGGCAGAATATGCTCAACAAATATATTTTTTGTTTCTGCAGGTTTCTCGTATATAGCTACGGCTTTAAAACGAGAGTTAGCACGTAGCAGGCTGTCTTAGGAGCGTCGTACTGGATTCACGGCAGACTCACTCGCACGTCCTGGTGCGCGGCCATGGGAGACGCGAAGTGCCTCCAGCCGGGCCCGTCTTTGTCCAGCCTGAACAGGTGCCGGTTGACGGTGTCCTGGGCCACGATCTCGAGCCTGTCGGCGCCCTCGCCGGACACGATGTAGGAGATGCTCAGGCAGGCCGTGGCGTTAGGGTAGCCCGGCAAGTAAGGCGTGATCAGGCGAGACACGTTGTAGCCCACGTTCTCGGCGTGGACAACCATGTAGCGGCCTAAAAGCAGGAAAAAAAAAATAAGATTCTGAGTTAGTTACATCGGGTCACCATATATGACACCTTCGCTCGCAATCACAGAGAGGACCTACGGGGTATAAGTAATGTGTTATTTGTACCTATAGCCGGTGACAGGTCAACGGGGTGAGCTCCTTTCACCTCTCTAGCACAGTGAACGCTGGAGTCCGGCAAGTAGCCAGGGGGGAGGCTTATGCCCCCCCCCCCCCCGAAATCTTCTATTTTGCTGGGGCCTCCTCTCCCCGCACCCCCTCATACAGCATTTTGGCATGGGCGTATCTATATCACCACATGTCCGTCGCTGTGTGCGTTATTTTGTTTACATGACACTACTAGAGGCTCGTTACATGGCACGTAACCAGCGTCTCGGTAGGATCATGGCCCAGGGGGGGGGGGGGGGAGGCTCTGCACCCCCCCCCCCCCTCTTCCCCGGACCTTACCAGGGGGGGGGGGGGCACGAGCCCCGATGTAAAAAAAATTTAAAAGCTCTAACAAAGACGAGGACGAAAAAGGAAGGCGAACAGGACAGGGAGATTATAGACCAGGGAGATTCTAGAGGCAGAGTCTATAGCGCGCTTGGGGGAAGAGTGCGTCAGCGCCCCGTCAGTCCTTTTGTCGGCTAAAGAATTAGATTTCCTTTCACAACGACAGCATCCGCGATGATTGTGCGGGTTTCAGTGGGGTGCTATTGGTTTTGTGCGTTTCCTTTATTTGATCGAGTATATAGGCTGCGCCTTGACGATTAAAACTTCAGTTGTAAGTTCAGCGGTTGTTTGCCTTTCTTCCGTCCCGTCTTTTTCGCTGTGCGTTTTAAATAATCATGCCTTACCACCACGCCTAAGCTTCCATTCTGAATAACGGCACATATACATACGTGGTCTTCGCTACAACTTCCGTGAGGACATCGCGGAATTCGCGGGCATAATCTTCAGCACGCTTCTTTTTCCTTCCGATTCTGACGACATGACCGTCTGAGGACCGTACAAGCACCAGCGGAATGGCAAAAAAAAAAAAAAAATCCATTGTATTTATGTTTTTAATTACAGGAAAGTTTGAGAGAGGGTGTTAAGAAATGTATTAACGGCTTTCCTCGGTGTCCTCTGAACTGCATGACACCCTAACTTTTTTTAGGACCAGGAACTTGACAACCTAAGCCCGATCACAGGAAGGGCACAGATGTCCCGCGAAGACCCATCCAAGACCTCTTTTGTTGCATGTTGAACCTTGGAAGAGGGCAATCACGAACACGTGACACAATGTCGAACCTTGCAAAGCCCTCTCTCCCCTCAACCCCTCTCTCCACCCACCTCGACGCGGCCCTAAAAAACTATCCTTTTTCGGTTAAAATCCGAATATTAGGAAACGGATTAGACGTACTTTTATCGGTTTAAACCGAAAACGCCGAACCTACAAACTGACCATTTTCGCTACAAACTGAATTTCCGAAAACGGATTTGGCGTACTTTTATCGGTTTAAACCGAAAACTCCAAACCCCATCTTTAGGTGCCCGCCGGACCAATCAGCCGCCTCCCTCTTATCACGTGACCCAGCTCTCCGCGCGTGCTTATGTCCGGTAGAGTGGTGCAGTGGCGAAAGTCAGGACTGGTCCAAGAAGGGCGTAGCTTCCACTGCGCTCTCAGCTGAGGGGTGAACGGCATACGTATAGCTATGTCCCTTTGTTCAACAATAGTATTCATATTTTTGTCAGCTCTAATCCCGATCTCAGTTAAAATTATACTGTCCCCCCCCCCCCCCCCCCCCCGAAAAAAAAAAGAAAAAAAAAAGATTTGATTTTCATTTAATAACCAGGCCTGTACAGCTCCAGCATTCATAGGAAATAAACATAACGACTTTTTAGCTGCCAACGCTTGATCGCAGTAGGATTAACTAACGACAAATCCTCATATCGAAGTCACGAGCTGTGTTGGTTTACCTTAATGGCCGGTGTAATAATATACACAGAGCACAATAATGTCGGAGGAGGGTACAGGTCCCTATTAAGGTTAGAGACGTAGTAAAACGAATCAGGGAAAACTTACACATTAACTTGCGACTTGTATGGCTATCGAGGGTTATGAGAAGAGCGGTTCAAATTGAATAGCACGGTCGACCCAGGGGCTTCACTTTTAAAAGAACAAATTCTGGCTTTCGCTAGCATTGTGCAAGCTGTAGATGAAACAATAAAATGCCACACGGACCACTATGTTAACAAACCTAGAGCAAATCATGCAACAAAACTTTTTTCGAGAAGGCTGTAGTTGCATAGCGCAGCAAGACGAGTTGCGGTAGCACAAGAAGCACAATAGAAATTTGTGCTTCTTGTATCCGGTCAGCAAGTGAGCAAATATAGTCTAGACATAATATGACTAAAAAGTTGAAGCGGGCAATCTCCAGATGGTAGTCACCTTCTCGGTTTTGGAGCCCATTTTTCTCCGGGTTGAAGTGGCGTCCGATGTTCTTCTGATTGCGCATGCCGCAGTTGTGGTTCTCAAAGGTGCAGGAAAATAACATCACGTCGGGTTCTGCAAATTCAGACGCGCTGCATGTAATACGAAAAATTTTGCGATCTATGTAATTATCAGGGGGTATAAGAGCAAAATGTCATTGATGAACAGGATATACTCCCAGGAATAGTCAAGGTAAAAATGAACTTGCGTATCTTAATTACCGGTTCGCCGTGTTACGAGACATTTTAATGTTGCTCAGTCTGAAATGTCGTGCAATAGAGAGAAAAAAAAAAATAAAAGGACGGTGAACAGGCGTTCTCGAAAATTGAACTGTCTCCATGAGGCGAGGCATTCGTCAAACTGCAAAAACTGTAGCTTAAAGGCCGACGACCAGGCGCGAGATTCTGCAAGGCGGAAGATCCCCCTCACCATGGGGAAGGAAGAGACAGGCAACGGTGAACAGGGTAGAAATGGGGAGAGGAGGAAGCGGGGGAAAGGGGAAGGCGCGAACCGGTCGTCGGTCTTCAACACTGCAATAAATGTTCCGTTTTCGCAAGATTTTTTTTTCCGCAAAAACAGGGGCAACAAGGGTGCTAGAGATAACGCAGTAAAGTAAGTCATTAAAGTATTAATATACAAGAATTAATTGCCGACGATATAAAGCAAGCTGCAAGGGCAGAACTGTTTGACGGAATCGGTGTTTACTTTTCATTTTCTCGAGAAAAGAAAGATGCGATGCAGTTGACCCGACACGTGACGTTATGTGATGTCAGGCATAGAGTTATTATAATGTACGCTAGAGGGTCAAGTGGCGCTAGTGTGCTGACGCAAATTGAAGCAGACAGCAACGAGTCGAAAATTGACTTCCGGTAATGCATTTCTATGGGAAAAAGTGAGTGCATTTTCTCTCTGCGCTCGATCATAAGAGCAAATATCCCGAATAATTCGTACGTACTAGGTAGCTTGGAACATTTCTCAGTCAGGTCGACGAAATAATTGGTCAGTTACGGTGTTTTTCTTTCAAGTTCATCGCATTAAAAACGGTGCTAAAACAGCTTCGTACGTGTATTTATGTGCACTGTCGGACACTGTTAGCGCGAACACGACGTTGAAGCTTTTATTAAGAAAGACGGCAAGAACGACGCACTAACACCGGATCAGTAACTACACGTGCATATACGATCAAAATTAATTGAAAACCACGTAATCTATTCCTATTTTAAATAAGTAAGTACCGTTTTATTCTTTCTGCTCTGAGCGAAGCTGCTTGTTCTACGTTCAAAATATCACTCGCACGCTCGAAATCTTTGAGAACAAGTGCCCGATAAAAGCTGCCCGGCAGAGAAAACAATACGAAGAGACAACTTTTATAGCCCACGGACTTTATTCTCTACGTTTTGAATGTTTTTATCCGCTCATACACGACGGGGTCATTTTTATATAGTGACAGGACTGGCATATCATCAATATATAAGCGTCACCGGATTGCTGGCGAGCCTTGAACACACTCTACATTCCTTTCGATTGTAATTTTGCTTCGAATCGTCGCTTGTTTCTACACACCTGCTGCGGAACACACGTTTGGGACTGAAATGTAGCGAAGTTAAACATCGGTCACTGATGAAGAAAAATGCGCTGACTAAAGCAATTACACTTTTACAGTGTTAATCAAGGTACATACTATTCGGTACGACCCAAATAACCAAAGTGTTCCGTGTTATTTTCCGGCGAAGAGACAAAATGCACGCGCGCTTTCCCATAGGAATACACAGGAAGACTGGAAAAGTAGACTGGTTGCTGTCTGCTTCAATTTGCGTCACGGAAGTCGCATAGACACTAGCGCCAGTTGAACCTCTAGCGTACATTATAATAACTCTATGATGTCAGGTGGTCACGGCATCACCGAAGGTCATGGCGTGACGGGCCATTCATCCGCTATACTTAGCGTTGAAACTGGAGTCACGTGACATTCCGGTGTCACGTGACCTGACATTATCTTACGCAAGTTCACGTGACACCATGACCTGACCTCGGGTCATGTGGCGTCGATTTCTCCGAAACTGACATCACTTTTTTTTCTGAAATTGACGTCAACACCATGACGTAAAATCACGTGACCACGCCACGTGACCTCGGGTCACGTCACGTCATTATATCAAATCGACATCACTTGACCCGACGTTCCAAAATGTTGGGTCACATATTCGTTCGCCAGGCATGCCATTGCACACCGCTTCGAGAAAGAGCTGCTGCATGCTAAGAAGCACCATGAAGTTAAATCGCACGTTGATTGAAATTTGACGCCAATGTGTACGAGTACTGGAATGAAATGTCCGTAATTTAGGGGGCAATTCGTTTTTTCTTTAAATTATGCAAAGTATACATTCGGCCAATTTTGTTCGAAACTCACGTACGCGCTGATGCTGGAAACTTACTGGTGAGCCTGGGCACAGGGGCCAAAGACACGTAGTTGGGCGGAAAAGGTCCCAGTGCCGGCATCGGAACTTGGTGTGGCAGAGACGGCTTCCTTCCGTTGGATGGACTGCCGATTATGTTGGCGGGCGAAGCTGTCGACCAGGGTATATACGTGTGATGGGCAATGATGGCTCCGGAGCGAGATTCCTTCCCCGGTAGACTTGCGTCGCTTCGCTCGGCCACTCCGGCTTCATGTAGAGGGGCATTCCCAGTGGAGAGGTTGGGTACTCTGGCGTCGGCATGCTGAAACAGCAATCGACGATTTATAAGACACTGCAACATATGTGTTTTTCTCGGAGCACACTGGCGGCGTAAAGTTTTGATCATTCGTCAAGATACTGCCGCTCCTAAGTTGGTGGATTCATCGATGGACCTTTCACGAAATGCAACGTTGGAGGCTTCCTCGCTTGGATGATTCATTTGGTCGAGAAGATATCGTCACCAACAAAGTTAGCACATTCCCGCGACACTGAAAATAAACATTCAATGAATGCAAATTGGTTGCATTCAAACTTGAAGACGTAGGTGCCAGCATCTTGCGTCGGGCGACGGTAGGGCGACTAATTCGAAACAGCGTATTATTCTTGCTTCTATCTACCCGGTACGTTCAGGAATATTCCGAACCAGAACATTCGACGACAGCCGAAAATAGACGAACTTTCCAGAAGGGCAGAAACAATGCCGCGCGGGGTTCGAACCCCGCCCCTCAGCGTGGAAGCCGCGTGCGTTGCCAACTCCGTCACGCACATGGCAATGTATAAACAAGCGCCACTTTGTTGTGGACGGGGGAAGAATGCGGAAAAACAAGGTCCGCCATTGACGCCAATTTTCGCTTCAGAAAAAAAAAGAAAAAAGAACGCAGTGACTGAATTTATTTATTGTTGGCATCGTTGTCAAGCGCATTATCTGTGTTGCCCGTTCATTGGCATACGATCTCCACACGCTCAAATACACCGTAGAAACTTTGGAAGAGAGGTGTCTGAACAAAATCAGCTTCGGTGGCGAATTTTCACTCGGGGTTCCCGGATCTCCCGGCAGGGGCACTGACGGTTTGGGGGTTTCAAATCAAAGTGCGTCAGCATCATTGCCGGTGCGTCTTGTAGCGTCTTGTAACGAACGCGACACTACCACGCGGCTAGGGTTAGGCTAGGTGGCGCAAGCTGCCGCCCATTACAAAGAGTATAGCCATTAACATCCATTCATCCAACTTCAGCATGTTTGCCTTTTGGGGCGGGTCGGGTATCCACTAACGATGACGTCATGCCTCGTCTTCTAGGCGGTATTGAGGCCTTTTGGAACACTTCTCCGTATGCGGGGGATCGGTGTCCGAGTGGGCTAGCGCACACCAGCTCGGGGCACGTGGAGCGAAAGCTAGCGCTGCAGAACCCAGGGATCCTGGGCTCAATCCCCATCCCTGCCTGCCTCGATCTGGATGAGCATCGTACCGGCGTGCAGTCGTGTATCACTACCGCGTGATGCACGTTAAAAACCACAGGTTCCTAAGCAGCACAGATGGTCCTCCGGATATCCTCCGGATGTCCTGACGTTCCAGGGATGTTCTGTGGATGTGTATAGGACATCTGTGCTGCTAGGGTTAGCGTTTGTACTGCACTGGCTAAATCGCTCATATACAGCTGGGAGACAAGTCGCCCGTTGAGGCAGACTAAGGGCTGTATAAACATACATACACCCCAATTTTGCACCCTGTAAACATTTCTAAACTCGCGAGTTTGCTCACCTGAGGCGGGTTCTCGAGGTCCCTCCGGTCTGTGGCCAACCCGAGCGCCTCGGAGCGAACCGGAGGGTCGACGTGGGTGTCGTTGTGCCGGGCGTTTACCTGGTCACTTTGAAAATCAATAGACTCCACGCGTTGCATCCCGCCGTAGAGATCTCCAGACGGCGACGACGGGCCCGGCTGCGCCTTGGTGTCGTCGCCAGAGTCGATGACACGCTCGGCTGCTGGGCGGAACTTGAAGCCGAACAATCCGTGAACCACCGGATCTGTGGCGGCACGCGTACAGTGCGTGACACTGTTAGCACGAACGAAACATTGCCATTTTTAGTTGTTGCTTTGTTACACCCCCAGAGCTTTACTCAGAACCACGCTTTCCTGGTGGGAGATCCTCAGAGGGCAACAACGTGGCGGTAAAGGTGAAGCCCCGGTATTGATTCCGTAGTCGCTAAGCTGTCCCAAATAGTCGGACTTGTTTATCGTAATCGGCACATTCTGCCACGAAATATTATGATTTTAATTTATAATAGTTTGTTTTCATCTAGGCTTAATAACTACTGCCACTTAGTCTGGGCATCCACAACTCAAGCAAATCTACATAAAATACATGTCTTACAAAAACGGTTCCTAAGAGTTGTTGAAAATGTTCCGTCTTACTTTCACATGCATGAGTTGTTCGTAAAATATAATGTATTGCCAATTCATAAAATGTACGATTATCGGATTTCTAAAACTTTTAAACAAGAGGTAAAAACTAAATCATCGTTTTTAAAAGGACTAGCTAACTTACAAAGCAATACTACCGCCTACACTACGCGCCATGGTGAGCCTTGGAAGGTTAGCACTTACAGAACAATCTACGGGCAAGATACGTTGAAAAACAGACTGCCAAGGTTACTAAATAGATTAGCTGCCGGAAATGTCGAGCTTTTAGATATTACGTTTAAAGCATTGCGGCGTTATTTCAGCCCCCAGTCGACTTTTCTTATGTAAAAAATGCTGTGTAATATTATTAGACGTGAAACTAGTTGTGCATGTAAGTAATCTTTTTATTTTTTATTTTTTTTCTTGATAGTGCCTTTCAAGATATCCTACAATTGCGTGGTTGTTACGTAATTTGAGTGTGTCCAATATTGCTTCTCTTTATTCTGTTTATCTTGCTTTTTCTGTTGATGCTGTAATCTGTACGGTATGTTGATAATTTTCTTTTTATAGTGCTGCAAATGCCAATGTGGGGGCCTGTGGCTTTGTCAAGCTGGTCTTGTGACCGCTTTTTCCACAAGCCTCCAGTATCATTTACTCTGTATTTGATGCAAATAAAATATCAACAACAACAACAACAACACAGCGAATACGTAACGCAGGAGACAGTCTGAAGACAATGCTTGTGGCTTTCCTTGTATGGCGGTCACAATGGTCATAGAACAACTGTCTGCATACATGTTCCAAGCGTATATGCTTAGAACATGCTTGAAGCGCAGATAATTATGTCATCTCTACAGCGAACAGAATGTCTTTCGTACAATGTACGAGCATAGGTACGAGCAGGAGGACTGCAGTTTTTGTCTGCCTCAATGCACTGCTCGTGATGCACGCGAAAACTCGCGGCTTTCGTCTTCCGACTAACAGATATGACACTGAGTACATGAAGTTCCGTGCAGAAAGAGTTGACTCCACATCAAATGAGACCTCTTCCGGTTTCAGTAGGCCGATCTTAACCCGCGAATATTGCAGAACCTGAACCACCGTTTTGTGCGGAAGGCATACGAGGGAGTCGTTGAACAGATCTAGCCCTTAACAACCTCGCGACAGCAAAAAGCTTGGAAAGCGAGACGAAAATGTTGGTCGACACACTTTTAAGAAAGAACAGTGAGCGCGCAGGCGTTCTTTCTTCCTGTCTGTTTTTCTTCGACCAAGTTTCCCAGCTTTTACTTTGTTGCTTTTGTTTGACAAAAACGCTATTCCGGCGATGCGATCGAGCACTTCTTCGATAATTTTTTTACAAATATATTTTCGATCGATGCACCTATAGCTGCATTGTGCGCCTTGCCCCGAACCTACGTACCCACAGTGCGTATCATATATAACATCGAACAAATGTTCGAAGGACACATCACCGACCTATTCAGTAAATTCAATATACAAAACTAGAGAATTTACTCTGTCACCCTTCTTGCTTTGCTCGTCACACCTCGGAGTCGGTATCCATTGATCCAGCTTAAGTTTTAAGTGCGGAAGGTTTTTAAAGTCGATACAAACAATGGAAGTACCGACGCATTTGAAACATTGAGAAAGTAAACATCTCGACTTTTTTTTATAAATTTAATAACAGTCAGTTAAATGGGGCGCATATTTCCACGCTCGTCAGCGAGCGACCGCGCGCGTGGCCGAGTGGTTACCGTGCTTGACTGTTGTGCAAAAAGTCTGGGTTTGATTCCAGTCAGTGGAATGCTCTTTTATTTATTCTTTCATTGCGTTCTCGTGAGTTCGAGAACATTCTCGTCAGATCGAGTTCTGAATGTTCCAGTCGCCGAACAATCTAGGCCGATTGTTCCAGAACCCAACACGCGTACATAAGGGACTCCGCGCGATGATCTGCAGTCAGTTTTCGCCCAGCGTTCGACTCTGCTGCTACGCCGATTTCGACGCCCGCGACGCTCCGTTATTATCTTTTGTACCCTTTTGTTTTCGGCACAAGTTCGCCACATTAAACGTTTATTTCTTTCTGTTTATTTATTGTTTATTGGCCACCACCCGTGACATTTTGGTGGAGGTGCGGGGTACCGCATGCCCGTGCAGCGTTCCCCTCCCAGGACCCGCAGTGCAAGCCGGACTCCAAGCTCGCTGAGAAGACCACTCAGCGCGGAACCTGAAACTCGGACCAGCCGCCGCACCAAGAGAGAGGATCCAGAGTACGGTTTGCTCCTGGACAAACCCAAGCCGAAGAAGACGACGATGTACAACCAGTCGCAGGCCCCCGCCGCTCCTGCCGTCGTCTACCTACCCGTCGCTCCTCGGATACCGGCTCCCTTCCACGGCGAAAGCCACGAAGACATTGACGACTGGGTCCAACAGTACGAACGAGTGGCCCGTCATAACGGGTGGACACCGGAACAGTGTCTGCAAAACGCTTACTTCACCTTGGAAGCCACCGCCCGGAACTGGTTCGAGAACCACGAAGCTTCGATCACTTCCTGGGAGCAACTCAAGGCCGAGTTGCTAAGAACGTTCACGAACCAACAACGAAGAGAACGCGCGGAAGAGCTCCTTCAAGCGAGGATTCAAGGCCCTAACGAGAGCGTCGTTAGCTTCGTGGAAGATGTCCTGCGACTGAGCAACCGCGCCGATCCCGAAGCATCCGAAACAAAGAAGCTCAGAGTCTTGATGCGTGGCGTCAAGGAAAACATTTTCGGTGGTCTTGTGCGGAGCCCGCCTACCACCGTCGAAGGCTTCATGACGGAGGCCCCCAACATCGAACGTGCCCTTCAAGCACGAGCCACCCACTATCACCGAGTTCCCGGCGTCGGTTCCTTTTCGCCTTCCGGCTGCAACACCACGGACATCCGCGAGATGATCCGAGACGTCGTCCGGGAAGAGATCAAGAAACTTCTACCTGCCGCCGCAAGCCCAGCTTCGCCCTCAATCGCCGAGATTGTCAGGGAAGAAGTCCAGCAAGCGCTGCAGCCTGAGGTTCTCGTCAGCACCGCTCCGGAACCACCGACGTTGAGTTACGCCGCAGTGGCCCGACGGCCACCGCCTCCTCGTCGCACCTATGTCACGCCGCCCCGACGTCAGTCTCCTGCGCCGCAGCACGACCGACGCCACGACGACCAGGTCCAGTGCGCCTGCCCGGAGCCTCGCGCACCCCGCAAGACCGACGTGTGGCGAACGCCCGGCCGACGCCCTCTGTGCTTCCATTGCGGGGAAGCGGACCATACCTACCGCCGATGCCCATACCGACGACTCGGACTACGCGGGTTCCACCCGAACGACCCGCGCCCCCGTCATGGTGAACGCCCTGTCGAGATCGACGAGTACTTGCGACGACCTCAGTCCCCCGAGCCTGCGTCCCGCCGAGAGTTCCGGTCGCCGTCACCGCGACGTCCAGCTTCGCCGATGCACTGACCACGACGTGAAAGCCTGTCCCCCCTCGCTCCTCGCCGGGGAAACTAGGCGCGGCAACCCCTGGAGGTGGAGTTGCCGAAGACGACCGACGCCAAGATCCTCCACGAACGTCGGGGGGCCCCCACTCGAACGCTACCAGAGACCAAAACGACGCCGCTGCAGTGGTGTCCAATAGCCTAAACGTCATCATCGACGGCCACGACGTATCTGCACTCGTGGACACCGGAGCAGACTACTCAGTCTTGAGTGGGAGGCTCTCCCGCCGCCTTCGAAAAGTCACGACGCCGTGGGATGGACCTCAAATACGAACCGCCGGAGGGCACCTCATCACACCCATCGGGAGATGCACTGCTCGCGTCGAGATCCGCGGTGAAACGTGCCCTGTGAAGTTCATCGTTCTACAAGACTGTTCCAGAGACGTTATTCTCGGCATGGACTTTCTGTGTGAATACGGCGCCGTCATCGACCTTGGTGAGAACAGATTGACGCTGCGCAAGCCCGTTCCGTCGTCAGAAAAACCTCAAACAGCGTCAGCCGCCGTCCGAGTCGCTGCCGACCACGTGAACCTGCCGCCGCGATCAAGTGTTGTCGTACCCGTAGTGGCCGATGTAGCTACCTGCGGCGAAGTTGTTCTTGAAGGCAACCTTCAATTACTCCTAGAAAGAGGAATAGGCGTCGCAAGAGGAGTGGCTCAACTTCAGGATGGGCGCACCGTGGTCTTCGTGACAAACTTTCGACAAGAAGCGCAACACCTCACGAAAGGTGCCGCTGTAGGCCACGTCGAGGAAATTCGGAACTCCGCCGAAATCGCCACGATTGCTGAAGAATCATTCCCACCTCAGCAACACATTACGGCGCCAGCACAGCTCGACATTGACCGCAAGCTTCCAGGCCCGAAACGACGGCAGCTAAGTGACCTTCTCGCCGAATACAGTGACTGCTTCGCGACGTCGTCGAGGGTGCGCCAAACCACCATTGCGAAACACCGCATCGTTACCGAGGACGACGCGCGCCCTGTGCATCGATCGCCGTACAGAGTCTCCGTTAAAGAAAGGGAGGTGATCCAGGAACAAGTGCAAGAGATGCTGAATGACGACATAATCCAACCCTCAAGCAGTCCGTGGGCCTCTCCAGTTGTA